TGTGTGTGTGTGTGTGTGCACGTGTGTGTGTTTGCGTGTGTGTGTTTTTAGAAAGAGAGTCTGCCCTTTTGTTTTCGTGGGGCACGTAAATAACGAAAGTAAGAGAATGAATTGCTTTTAACATTTGGCATTATAAATTTTAATTACACCTGTATTAACATGTAAATCGAAAGAACCTTTCATACATACGAAACTCTAAAACAGGATATGTTGGTGTCGTCAAAAACGCCTATCCCAAGTACATATGTGTATGTATCGTCAACTGGCACAGTAACCCCATCCCGATCGTTATGATCTTCTTTTTTTTTTCAACATTACCTTCATCATCCGATCTTTCTGTGTATGAAGAATCTGTGACTCCTTTGAGAGTGAGTCTTCTTAGCATCGGTCGAAGTGCAGCAACTTTCAGTGAAAATAAAACTTCTCGGGAACGCTCTCGAAAGTGACCTTAGAAATCCGCTTGTAAATCGAACAGTAATCAAGCAAGTCAACTATTGACAGCAAGAAACAATTCCAACATGGTATCTGAATACTTTTTGAAAGCCTGAGAGCGAAAAACGGAAAAAGCAAGCTCTTTGTTGCATACATAATGCATAACTACCTGTTACCAGGATGGAGCGCAGAGAGTGGAACGGTTGTAAACTTGCGCGCGCCAAAGAGGAGCGCAACGCACCGAAGTGGTGTGAAAAAAGCGCGCCAATGCGGAGCGCCGTGAAGGGAAAAGGTTAAATTAAGTTAAAACAAATAGATACAAACTGCTATGCAAAGAATGGGTGACATTGATTCACCCGTTGAGGAGAATTTTGAGGATAAGTTGCGCCACAAATTTTTGACCACACTATAACCATCACGCACTGCGGTTTATTAATTGCATTAAAAAACAAAAAAACGGTAGTTTGCTAGAGGGTAAACTTATTTGCATTCAATTTATCAAAGTTTTCATAGATATTATTGATAGTTTTTAGACATTTAAAGGAAGAACATAAAATACTATATGGCACTCTCAGACAAGAAACAAGAAGGAGTCATAATCATAATATAGACATTGTGTTATCAGTTTATTACAGAATCGTCAAACAACACGCTTGACAATTTTTAGGATATAAAAAACAAAAACAGTATACAAAAACAGTATTCAAACTGACTACAAATTTTTGTTATTGTTTCGAAGTATTACTGGAAATATAGCTTTTGTTAATTATTTGAGTTTTAAAATTCTTTGAAAACTAAGTGCTTCATTTTGCATTCTTAAAAAGAACAAACTTTTCTCCAATGGGAACGCCCAAGTGCTGTCACGTTTACTTACCACACACACACACACACACACACACACACATAC